ATTGTCTTATTTAAGTTCAGAAGAGTTCTATGAACAACAGCAAATGCTGCCTTTGATAAAATGTAAGAATTTTAATCTAATCTAGCAGTCTATTTGATAATCAACTTGAAGTTACATGACGTTTTTAGGAGTTTTTTCTAAAGATTATGTATGCAGTGATTTATGAATTATTCAAACATGCGTAAAGTACTAGTATATTTATTTCAACTTTGACCACTTTGTAATCACGCAAGGCGTTACACTGTTGCTTGTGAAAATTTATGTGCACGCTCCAATACCAGAGGGGCTTACTTTACAATGAAAAATAAAAGGAATTAATTTATACGAAGGTGGATAAACCAAAAATCTATATGAAGGTAAAAGAAAAATTAGATTTAATGTTACTATTAATTTTAATACGCGTGCTTCTCAATATTACCTATTCGAATTCAAATCATTGCTCAATGCAAGGAACTTTATTTGTTTGAAGAATCATTACGCACCACTTTGGTTTGATTGAGCCGGAAAATTAATTTTAAAGTTAATCTTCTCCGTCATTAATTAACCACCCAACGTAATAAAAGCCTAGTAAAGGCAAAAAATGCTCAAAATTTATACATTAAATCCCACTTTTCTTATTTCAATATACACGATTTCAAAATTTATTTGCTTCACCTGGTGACAGACAATATCTCACCAGATAGGCCGATACCAATCCAAATAGGCAATCATCTAATCATATTCAACACATCGATTGAAATATTAGAGTGCATTTGGAAAAAATGTGCGGAATTGGCCAATTTAATTTATGCCTCAAGCCATATTATAGGATTCGGAACTCGGTTCACTTGATTCCGAGGTACCTGAGACATCTGATTCTTTAGCTTTCAAGGTCGATCCAAGTATCTATTAAAGTTAACATGAAGAAATCGTGTAATTTACAAATAGATGACCGAGTTTGATTTGTGTCGTAAAATTTTTTTTGTTTGCGGAAAAATCTCGGTAGGCCTTTTCTTTATGCAAAATTATGAGCAATAAATTTTAATTTATAGTTGAGGGCATAAAGACCACGCCACACATTGCAAACTATTTTTCTTACATCGCCACCAAGACTACTATAAAATAATTACTAAAAGTGGTGATTATGTGCTTGCAATCCTTGGTATCAATTTTGGTTGTGAAAATAGTTAACTCGAATAATAGGACTTTGTGAAAATCATAACGACCTGCAAATTTTGATTATGCCGTATTAAACTTCCCGTTTAAATCAAATATTCGATTAACCATAGATTAATTACCTCGGAAATTTGCAAGGCCATGATGAACTGTACAACTGATCTTATTGGGAGCTGACACAGCCCTGAGTGTAGCTGCATTGCAGACACAGCCCTAATGGCATTTTAATGACCTGATTTTGTACAGTGGCTCATATGCAGTAATAAGCACCATTCACTCCAAACGATCTCTCTTTCCTTGACGCGGCTGTAGTGGCCTAACAACTTTCAAAGACAATTTCATACTAAGGACTTTTTACCAGAGTGGTTCGACGCTGACTTGTAAGGGACTATTTGTGTGGCATTGGCTCCATATGTCATTGCTGTTAGACTATTAATAGAATGTTTAGTTCTAGCGCGTTTAATGATTTGGGGGGTGGCGAAAAGGAATGATTAATATATTGCCACAGAAATGCTTTAATTTATAACTTATTTACAGTACAAACCGATGACATACATCATGGAGAAGAAATAAAAGTGGTTTCAAAACCCACCAAGTTGTGAATGTGATTTACAACACTCTGCTGTTTGACACTGCGTAGGACCAGGCAGTTATTTAAAAATAACGTTAATGACTCGGAATTAAGCTTGCATTGAACTTTTAAAACATTAATGGGGCAACCTGATTTCACAAGTTTATCGACTAATTAAGGGTCAATTGGAATTACCAAATGTAGCGATTCGAAACCGATGTGTGTAGCGGATTGCTACACCAATAAGCCTAGATCATACTCAGTAATCACTATGACAAATTAGGCTTCCCAAACTAGCGAAGCTATCACCAAGCTATAGAGGGAAGAGGCGGATGATGAGGAATACATTTATTCGGGATATGACACGCCGGTTATGAGCATAGGACGGAAGCTTTGTCTTTATCAACATAGCGGATTAGGTTAAACAAACAGAGGTTAACGTTTGGTCACTGTATGAACGGTCGCTGTACCCAGAGTTGTACGACCGCACCTCCCAATACTGGCGTGCGGGCATGCGATGACGCACAAAGCGATAACGCGTCCCACAAGTGAGCGTATTTAATCTTTTCTTTTGTTTGAATTAAATGAATAATTAAACTTTAAAAGAGCATATACCGTCAAAATGAAGTTATCTACTGGCTTGAAATGCTAACTAAATAATAAAATAGATCAAATATAATTTATCATTTGTTTTAAAATTTGCTTGTAAGCATTCCTAACAGGATTAAACTGCTCATTTCGAACGTTCTGGAGGGAGCGGTCGTGCGTGCAGAGGAATTCACAATTTGTTAATAGTTAATGTTTACTTTAATAATTATAAGTGCATTCAAATACTAAACCTATTCGCTGTGATCTTTACTCCAGCACACGCTATAGTCACTCTACGTCTGCTTCTTTTAGTTATGGAGATAGTTTAGTTAATTCCAGGTGCTTTTCCATACAAGGATATTTAGCCATGAGGATTACCGAGGATAAGTCTAGATTTAACTGTGTGGCGATTTGCTACAGATTGGTGAGAGTGGTGATTACCTGCAACTTTAGGTGAATTGCTTAGGCTATTTTTAAAGCCTAAAATAATTTAATTTCCAATGAAAATAACTATGAGTAAATGAGATTAATTGCGATAGTAAGCACAATTTTGTCAATACCTTTTGCTGCTATTCCAGATATAGTTGATTCTCTCAAGGAGAACATTCTTTCGATGAGTACTAATAGTAACTAAAGAACCCAATAAAGTCGAACCTAAAGAAAATCAATAAAGAGGGTGTATCGTGGTGGAAACCAATCACAAAGTTAATTTTCATCACCAGATTGCAACATTTCCAGTGATAAGCTCATGTTCTAAGAAAAGTATGCAATGATTTCCCTCAACATTAGATAATATTCATATTGCTAGATTTTCATACAATTTAAATCTTACGAAAATTAAGTATGATTACGCCCTTATGTTGAAGAACCCTGTCATTAGTCATGCAACTGTATTATCTACATAGTTAGTTAATCTTCGATAGATTTAATTTGACAACTGTTGAAGATAATAGGCTTAACAAATTTGCCAAAACTGCTTAAAAATTTGTGAAGTTAATGAATCAGATATGCATAGGATGATAAGAGGCCTTGATATTTCATTTAATTAGATAGACGGCCCTACAAAATCGACAAGGTTCAAAGGTTTTATTTTAATAAAGCCATAAATTGCCGATAATTTTTGATTGAATTGGCTTAATTTACATAAACTTGTAAATCTAGACCGTAAATGGGGAAAGTCTTCTCTATTGTCTAAAATAAGTGAAAACCCACAGCAATATTGGGTTAATGACAGCTAGGAGCTTTTCTGAGTCGACATTTTTCGGGCTTAATTTTAACGTGAAGTAAACTTAAAATGGACGTATGAGATTAAGCGCATAACACATCATGTTTCCATTGCCTATATTTTTGCATATATCTGTTAAAGTTATACTTGCGTTAGGGCATATCAACTTTTGAGACTTATAATTTTCGAGCAAATAATGAGATTGGGGTCAAATCTTATTCACTATATTTTGTGAAATAAACTAGATATTAACGAGAAATCGGGTGAGATATCCATAAAACTATTAAAATTTTAAAAATGAGGTTTAAAAATAGCCGATGGACCTCTGAATTTTCCCGAAAACGGATCAATAAAATTATACACGAAATGAGTTAATGGTTATTCTTCACATTAATTCAAAACGAACTATGATCCTTCTTGTAGTAAAATGACAGATTTAAACGATGAACAATCTTCAATGGCTGCAAAGATACAGCTAAATCAGAATCGACGTCTGAACAATCATTCTTTACAACAAATATTAGTTCGTAATAATCATTGGCAAACAATGAGTGAACCATAAATATTCGTAATTAAAATTTTATCTTAATAAAGATAAACTAATACCATTTTCATTTGTAAAGACTTGCATAAAAGTGCTTAATAAAGTTCTTTCGTTTTTATTCAACACTATTGACTGATAATTAATATGGAATAACTTCTGGAAGTTGATGATAATAGCATTTGCATTGAAAAATAAGTATAGAACTTCTTGAAGTGATACTTAATTAAAATAAATTATTTTACTGCGCAAAAGCAGAAACCGTATTTGTTTATTTATTCCAAAATCGTCCTTGCGGTCACTAGCAGCAAGGGCGCACTTTACATGTTTGACGGCTCTACAACAGCTGATTTTGTCCGATTATATCTTGACATGCAAAGATGATTTCCATGTGGTAATATTGAAAATGTTTCGTTAATTTTTTACGCTGGAATTTGATTTTATTTAATCTCATTGTTTTATGGATAATAAATATTTCACAACATTTTATTCATATTTAAAATCTATACAACGTTGCAGGATTACTGTATTATTCTTTTGCTGGTTTAACTGGAATTGGTTTATTTGTGCCTAAGCCCATTATGATTCTTTGCAACCTCAACATTTTTAAAGATTTTCGAAATATATTAAGTATAGAACTATTGTGTTTTATTACTTTTGTATTTTAGCGCATTTTTTCTAAGTATTTCGATGATTTTTATTATATAGCACTTAACATTAGAGTTTATTTGTCAAATACGTATGTGTCATTGGAAATCTTGATTCATACGATCTCCCTTATTCGAATTAGATGTCCATTTATATTTCGCCGACACCTATATTTGACTTTCAGTATTCGTAAATTTAATACCATGTTTTTTAGCTTTCGCAATTTTATCACATCTATTTGCTTTATATTTATTTTTTCTCGAAGACTGAACATGCTGCTTGGGTTTTACTCTGAGTGCCATCGTTTTTCTTTTTTTGGTAAATTATCCAATGTAACTGTAAGCAGTTCTTAATTCTTCTATCGCTTTCACTTTTAGGAATTTTTATATACGTCGTCGCCAGCGTTTGGTCTTCACCCTCGGTTACCTTTCATTGTTTTCGTTGATAGTCTTTTTTTCCTCTCGACTCGTGAACTACATTGGTATTTTTGACCGGAAAAGTCTCCTCGTCATTGACCTCAATCGTGATACAGTAAGTGAATAGTAATATGGAAGTATAGATAAATTGTATCTAATTTTGTCTTCTTTCAATTCAGCATATTGTGATAAATGTAAGATATGCGATTTTAGCCGCCATTACCCTTTCATAATCCATTTCCACTCGTAAGAGTTCGTTAAACAGTTGAAAGTTAAAATGCATTTTTTTTAATTTTGGGGTTCTTCTAACATTCGCAAGAAGCACTGTTCACACCTCATAATACGCTGCAATACTGACAATGTTAATTGTGCCCTTTAACTTTTCAGATACCTAGTCGCTGGAAATATGGCTCAGCGGAAAATTTCACGAATCCACCGCCTTCAAATGACTATTTACCAATTGCTTTCTACAATGATACGGATATTCTATGGTCCTATTCTAAGGCTGAAACTATTAAAAATCATACTCAGCTATGGAACCACATTCGGGAAGTCAATGAGGCTCATGTGATCTATAATAGAGATCGATATGGGGATGAACCTCTATTATTTATCATCATAATCCAAGTAAGCATTTTGCTTGATGCTTACTTGTCTGGATCTAATTCTAGAATATTATGCAGTCACTTACCAGTTCACTGTGTCTCAAAGAAAACCTATCATGTGCCTAGAATCCGATTAACCGGACATCATAGTTTAACGACTTACTTAAGTCCCCCATTTGTCCCGTAGGTGATGTGTCAATTATGGCTTTTATTTTTTTAATGCAATTCACAGAAAAGCCAAGTAGACTATTTCATTGAAGCAAACCATGAAAGTATGATACGTAAAGTGGTCCGTATATGGAATGCAGATATAAGAAACAGTTTGACATTGCAATTCTTGTTTGTCAATTTGTTCACTTGTTGCATATTTTTTCATTAAAACATTAGCACAGAGCCTGATCTCCATATTTCTGCGTAGTGATTAATGCCCACGTTTTGCTCCTCTGGGAAGTTAGAGGTCATCTGTTTGCATCTGGTGGGCGGAAATATCGCTCATATTGGTTAAGTCTCGATGATAAGGGGGCGATGGCAATCGATTTCTCACCACCGATATAGTGTCTCTATTTCTTTACCAATGATTGGGAATTGGAATATCATTTTTCAAGCGAGTTTGTGGAAATTATCCCGTTTGGACATGACCTTTTGTATATTCAGATTATGCTATTTAAAGCTGAGATTGATCTATTGTTTGTTCTTCTGCGATACGACATCTGCAGCCAGGTCTGTTAACCGATTGAGAATTGGAAATTGCAGTGGGAAGATCTGCCACTGGAGCTTTTCCTTTAAAACTTGAGCCAAAAGAATTGAATTTCAATAATACATTTCAAAATGTATCAGGTGTTAATCTGGAATTGAACCGGTTAGAGTAATGGTGTCCATTCTGTTCTTAAACTTAGTCGTTTTCCTTCTTCAAAGTTGGGAATATAAGTCCATCAAATTGACTGTTCCATGCCACTGCATAAGTAATACATTACTAAGACAGTCTACATTTATACTAGCAGTGAACATTTGAACGTAGAGAGGAGTAAGAGAGCCTATAATGATTACTTTATATACCTCCACGTGGTACACTCTACACAACGTATACTCATGCACAAAACGTCTATAGACTGACTACAAACTACCATGGCTCGACTGTATGCCATATTCCGTCACTTCTACAGTACTCAGCTCACCTTTTTCTCTATTTTTGTGTGTCTTCTTTACATCTGTAAATTACTCTTCAGTTCCTCTTCTGAAATTTTTGTGGCTTTGATGTTCCTCCCCTCTGTGAAGTCCGAGGTCAACAAAAGGGCTAGTGATAACTATCACGACTCCTGCCATTTGATATAAATGTTGCTGTATTTCAACTATCATATTTCTCTATTTGAATTCCCTAGAGTTTTGGAGTGAACTAATGCCTTTGCTAGCCAGAAATGATTTTGTCCTTGTGAAAAACTTCAAATTAACTGTTTTGCACAACCGAGTTGTCTAATTACTAAACTTCGTTTCGAGTTATGTAAACGTAACTCCAAGCTCCTACGTGTGATTGTTACGCGTTCCTTTTTTATGCGCATATTTAAACAGGATTGAATTTCATGTTATCTAATACATTGGGAAAGAATTTCTATGAATCATTCACTTGGATTTAGTTTACGTCTGACGCAGACTTATCAGTGTCTATGATTGTATAGCAACCATGCTTCATTACCTATTTCTCATGTTCATGGCTGAGGTTGTGCTTACGATACTCATTGCTTGTTGACTGACGGGTTCATTTCCGTGGTAGACTATGCCACCTCGAATTCCTCTTTTACTGCCTAGGACAGGTAAGTGGAGGAGCGACATTATGCCTGACATAACATTTTTCGCTACAGTTTATTTACAGTAAACTATGGTGTCAATTTTTTTGTTTAGAGTATCACTATTGTCAATATACTGTCGAGGACTTGCATCTATCACTCAGAGTCTTTCCATTACAGGACAGTATTTGAGCATGTCTATTCACTTAGATTCGGAAATTACCCTAAGATTTCTATGTTTTAATAGATTAAAAGGTAATGGAGGTCAATAATAACTAAACAGTAAATCTGAGCTTAGTGGCATAGTGGAAGATTTTTTGTTGGAACGCCATTAATTAAGCTAAGATTGCTTAGAAGTAGTTAAATCACATCAAGGAAGTGTGGAATCTACTGCCCTCTCCAGCTTTATGAACTCCACAACCACAAGGTAGGAAGGTAACTGCGGTAGTGGCAGAGTATTTGTGTATGGAATGAGGATGATTAAAGTTCAATAACCTTGCTAAGCTATTTCTTTCAATAATTGAAAGAAAATCGATAAATTGCCTACAGGCCGAAGGATAATCATAAGCAGAACGAATTTACAAGTGAAAAAAACTCATAACATCGATAAACGACCATGGTTAATTCTTGAGGCTACGATACGGTCACTAGTGACTTCAATGTTGGCCATTCCTTATTGTTTCCCTTTATTTGCAAATTTTGCACTGATGTATTATTTTCTCTTGTAGGTTCACAATCGTTCCACTCATCTTATGTACTTAATTGAGTCGCTGCGGAAAGTTCGTTATATCGAGAAGGCTCTAGTGGTGTTCAGCCACGATTTCTTCTCTCCGGAGACAAATCGTATGATTGATGCCATGCGATTTGTACGCTTTACCCAGATCTTCTTCCCCTACAGTGTACAGCTCTTTCCCGATTCCTACCCAGGTTCTCAAATCAAGGATTGCCATAACAAAGGGTATTATTTGTTAATTTGATGTTTATAGCTTGAAGTAGTAATTGGTAAGGTCAGATGCTTTCAAGGATTTAACTTTGTCTAGCCATCGGTGTACCTTCTAACGAGTTCGCTTATTGTAAAGTGTATGCATTTGTGAAGTCGTGTACCAAGTGGTCAAAGTTCATCAAAGATCATGCAAGAAGTATTATTATCTTCACTCATTTGAAGACAAAAAAAGTTTTTTTAAATCATTTAAGATATTTAATTAAGCAAACGATAAAACAAAGCAGTCTAATGAATCGTGTTGAGGAAGAGATTGGAGGAAATTTGAGAATATTAAGAGACTTACTCCATCTGATTTGGGATTTGAGTTTTTCTTCCCATGTTCCAAGAGTCAGGTTCTAGGATTTGAACCCCCCCCCCTCTCCCACTCCACCAAGTTTTGCGTTTGCAATGTTAGTTGGTCATATGATTTCAATAGCTTGTTTTGTTCTAATGGCTTATTTCCCAATACGTAATACAATGCAGCACATGTATGGATTTTGCCCAATTAAAACCACAGGAATCGATTAACTTTAATTAATTATGCATATGTGAATATAAATAAGTCTTAAAATTCGCTCCACTTGAACGCGGGTCTCAAAGTAGGATGCCAATATTTGATCATAAGTAGGCAGGAGACTTCATTATAATTGATCCTCATTTGCTTACTCTACTCGTTCAATTTGAACGAATAGTTTTGTTATGGATGTCCTTTGCACAAGGAAATGGAACATTTGCTGATAGTTTGAGAAAGTAAGATTTAGAAACTTCGGCTTCAAAGGCGCGATTTCTCTATGTAACTCTATCTGTGATTGGTGTGCTTACTGCTATCAGAATCTTCACGGTAAATAAGTGGTATCAGATGCAGGAACTATTTATTTATTTATATCAAGTGGCAGGCGTTTTGATAGTTATCATTAGCCCTTTAGTCGACTTCAAGCTTCACAGAGGGAAGGAACATCAGTGAAAAAAAGTCGAGAGGGGGGG